GAGGTGGAAGAGGCAATAGAGGTGAAAAAGACAATAGATGTGGGAGGATACCATCATATGTAGGGGTCTCTTATAATCCAGTCACGGGAGAAGCAATGATTGGGGTAAGCCATTATTTGTTTTTCAAATTCAAGTAACATTTTTTATGACTATTGCTTACACTTTATTTTCATCATTAAAGACATCATCAGCTGTGCCTGTGCCACAGCCAGCATGGCCCGAAGGCATCCTACCGTATTCAATTTCAAGAGAGGCTGTTGTTAACAATGAAGACCGTGATGAAGGTGATACTACTGTTGGTGATGAAGAACATCATGAAAGTGATGATGTTGTTAGACATCAAGAAGGGTTACAAGAAAGTCAAATGGCTATATCTCCACCAGAATTTAAAGATGCAAATGAAGAATAGTTCATACCATGAACTTAACATAGATTAGGCATTACTTTGGTATATTTTAGCACAACTTTTGGTATATTTTGGCGTAACTTTTGGTATATTTGGCGCAATTGTTAGTATTTTTTGGCGTAACTTTTGGTATATTTGGCACAATTGTTAGTATTTTCTTGTGCAACTTTTGTTACATATTTTGGTTCAACTTTTGGTATATATTTTGGTTTAACTTTTGGTATAATTATGCCCAAAATTTGTATGCAGATTATTATGCTTTGGATACAACTTTTATATTTTGCGAATAGTAATGATAATGATATATTTGTTTTTTTTATATAAATGTAAGTACTTTTTTCGTTCAAATAATATTTATGGACTTGATCGTTCAAAATATGAAAGTCCATTGGTTTTTTCGGACCTTTTCCACTAACAAAATGTATTTAACAGATTTTAGAAAGTCCAAGAACTTATTTAACAGGTTTTGTAAAGTCCAATGACTTATTTAACAGGTTCTAGAATGTCCAAGGATTTATTTGTTCCAAAAAATTGTCCAAGGACTCAATCGTTCCAAACAGTAAAGTCCATTGAGTTTTTTTGGACTTTTTCATTTTTTAAACCAACCATTGTTACATTTTTTAACTAATTAAACTATAATTTTATTTTTAATCTCGTATTTAAGTCTATAATTGAAAAATAAGTATATAATTTTGATACTTAATATTTATTATAGAACAAACTAAAATTGAAACATAAGAACATCCGTTATTTTGGTTTTTCAATCTAAAGTTTTGCACATATTTTTTCATGGCACTTTATAGTTATTTTAGAAATTTTGGAGATTTTAAAAATTTTAAGTCCTTCAGTTAAATGATCATTTCCCCCTTTTAAATTGGTCTCCTAATTATTTCTCTCATAAATTGACTCAAATTTCAATACTTCCGCAATATGCTAAAGACCAAAAATTCAACACAAAGATGCATTTGTGACGGCAAGATCCGCAATTTCGACGGGCTAGGTACGCAATTTTGATGGTGAACTGGTTGAATTTGACGTTTTTTTGTCTTTTAACTAGGTCCGCAATATTATGGATCTGGGCATTACGGATATAGTGACAGTTGAATCAACCCATGAGAGAAATGGTTATGAGGACAATTTGGATGAGAAAAATTGTCATTTGAGCTAATTTCTCAGATTTTTTTTGCCTCAATAACTATGTTAAACTATTTTCAAAAGTAAAAAAAGAAAAAAGATAACAAAGAAATCTTCAAATTTGAAAATACCCGTTGAAGATGCTCTAAATTTTCTACAATAAAAACCTTTCTCAAGTTATTTTTCAAATTTATCAGTTCCTACCATTTTAACTTTTATATCATTTATATATTACTATTTATTAGAGTTTATTCAACTATAAAAAAAATTAATTTAATTATGTATTTAGTTTATATAAAATGATTTATTTATTTATATTAATACAATATATATTAATATCTATTTATTTGTAAAAAAATTACAAAAATAATACTTAAAAATATTCCCTAAAATTTATAAAATTTTAAGATGGAGGTGGTATGTTTATAAAAAAAATTATTATAAAATGTTATGTTTTACAAGTAAGAACATTTTCAACAGGTATGTTATATTTTCTTTTAAAATTTTGAGATTTTTTTTATTAACCTGGATATCCAACCCGCTATACGAGCCGACTAATTTCAGGACAACCACTTGTTTTACAGATTGCCCGAAATCACCGTATTTGAATCTCTGTGGTCACAAGAGGATTTTTAAATAACAGTTAAAACATATATTTTTCAAATATTTAAAATTTCTAAAATAACATAACCGTTTGAGATGTTTTAACGGAGAAAAATATACCGTTAATAGAGACAAATTATCCCATTAATTCACGGCAAGATTAATTGACGTTGATTGGATGTAAATCGATAGTACAATTAACAAAAGCTATATGTACAAATATACCCTTGATTAATGTGGAAATACGACATTTAGATGAGGGTACAAGTGTAAATTTATAAAGCCGAAAAGGAATATGGGTTGATTTTTGGCGCCAAACAGAAGTCAATAGGGGTGTTCCCTGATTCCTGCGTGCTGCCCGCGGTCAGCCTAAATTTCACGGGCAGCCTTTATTCTTTATATTTTTTAATACCCTTTTAACAATCTACGTCTTTGCTTAGCTCACGATTTCCTCGGGTTCCTTTTTTCTCCATCTATGACATTTGAACTTAATTAACCCTTGTTTTATTAGTTTTTTAACATTTGGTCCCGCATTTTTGCTTCTTTTCACAATTTAAAACTTGAATGGTTCAAAATCCAAACTTGAACCCGAACTGAAAATAAAGTGTTTGTTCAAAACCTGAATGCCTCGAAATCCAAAACCCGACATTTGAGGGATATTTGGATTTGGATTGGGTTTTCGATATTTGGCCACTTGACTCGTCCAAAAACCCAAAATATATTTGTGTTCAACTTCAAAATACAAAAAATAGGAGGAGCCATTTGATCCATTTTTCTTTGGGAATATTAGAAAAGACCACTAGGCTGCATTGGTTGTACAAATGTGATGAGTTGCATTTGAAACAAACTTTTTTTTCTCTCTCTCTATATATATATATTCATACATATACATATATAAATACATACACACACACACACACATATATATATATATATATAGGCAAAAGATCGTGTAAGAAGTAGAGTTAATGTGAGAAACGTGATAAGCGATCTGAACTCTTGATAACTTTTAATCTCTTGCTCACCTATGAATTGTGCTTCTCACATAATTGATCTAGTGCATCTCCTCCTAATATGCATCTAAAAAAAGAGATCCCTTCTTACGCTTCTCACATTAATTCTCTTCATAACCAAAACCCAACCATATATATATATATACATACATACATACATACATACATACATATATATATACATACATACATACATACATATATATATACATACACACACATATATGTGAGTGTGTGTATCCAAAGGTTATTTTGAGAAGTGATAAATATTTGAGAAGTAAAAAATGGTCTTAGCCCTTCATATGGTTAAGATCCGATTTGATTGGTTAATAATTGTGGCTTTGACTAGTCAAAAATTGCAGTAATGCAAAAAATAGAGTGATTAGTTTTGTAACTTTTACAAATAGCCAGCAAACAGGTTCATATGTGTGTGTGTATATATATATATATTTATAGGTGGAGGTTCAAACGAAAACACCTCCGTTTTACGAGAATGCGAAGACATTTATGGCCTCCAAATATTTAACCCACAATTAAAATTAAAAGCAAATAAAGTAATTAATTTAGGATAATCATGTGATTAGTTTCATATTTACTTGTAATCTTAGTGAGATCCTTATCTCTAAAATCACATACAGATAACACATTAACCATTATCAAATAATTATCACAACACAATCACATAACAAACAGACATGTCAATTAATGTATACATGATCATCGTCGATTTTCGATCATCACAACATTATCACATCGTTATCACAACAAAAATCACATAATTATTAGATGACTATCACATCAAAATAACATCATAAACAATCTTCAATTTATCATAGTATTATCACACGGTAAAATCAAATCATTATCACAGTATTATCACGACAAAATAAAATCATTATCACATCATTGTCGACAACGGATGTAACAACATAAAAAGTCTCCAATGGTAATAACAAATTTTAAGGAATAAAGATAAATCTAGGATAACAAAAAATTATAGAAAAAAACTAATTTAATTTCATTTATTTTATTTTTTATTATGTGCTAATTAATTTTTAATCATTTATTCTATTTTTTTGGTTATATGTTAATTAATTTGAAGGCACAAAAGTGTTTCTTGCATTTTTGTAAAATAGGGGTGTTCTCGTTTGAACCCTAGTCTGTCGTGCTTTTTTCTAATTTCTATATCTACTATTGATTTCATCAATCCTCTTAATCGATTGAATTTGTCCTCAAAATTAATTGAATATATATATAATATTAACTGTACGCAATAATTTTACATGGGGTAGGGGATAAATAGAGTTATTTGTTAGCGCCTTTATACATTGAAGAAATAAAACTTGCCATAATAATATACGTAAAGGTAACATGGGACTATGGACTAAAAGCATTATAAGACATGGTTTACACTTCTATATCTTACAGTTATGTACTCAATGGTGGACCTATATATGTCCGAGTGAACTCCCGTGCATCCACTCAACTTATTTTCACAAATGGGATTTTTTTAGGTATGAACTATGCAACGCTAAACTTTAAGGGGTGCTACGGAATATGCCAACAAGAACCTCATTGTTTCAATAGAAGCTTTTGACTACTATATGATTGAATAGACACAAGGTAAATGTGTTAAAAGTTAAAACTATGGTGGTCCTATAAACACCAGTGCAAATAACAAAAGTTGAGGGTGTTGTTTGTAAAAAAGATGAAGTTATGGGGAAAAATGTGTAAAATTAAGCATTCATTAATAAATTCAAACTCATACTCATCCACACTTTCCTTCTTTTTTCCTCTCATCAACTCCATTGTTTACTTATAAAGCAAAACCACCCTCCTCTCCCATGTCCCCTTACCTCCATCAATCCTCAATTCCCATTGTTATTCCAATTCCATTCCCACTTTAAGAAAAAAACCCATTTTTCACTCTCTCCTCTTCCCCTTTGCCTTATTCACTTTCTCCCAACTTCCCTTTTCAACTTCTCATACATCTTATCCCTCAAATTTCATTCCTTTTCTTGTTTAAAACCCATTTGGGGTTCAATATTAACATGGGAATCGCAGAAGAAACGATGGAATCGGAAACAACAGCCAAGAAATGGGTCATCGCTGGAATCCAATTCATGAGTCCCTTGAAGCCGATTTACACAAAGAAAGAAATAGGAAAAACCCATGAAGAAGAAGGAAACAAAGAAGAAGAAGAAGAAGAAAAGGAGTGTTGTACGACTCCAACGACGCCGGAATCAAGGATTCCATGTCTGTTGAAGTGTCCAGGAGCTCCAATGAAGAGAAAGGCGGTTTCCAGAAGCCATTGTAATGGCGTTAGAGATTACTTCAAGCCTCCGGATTTGGAAAGTGTATTCATACGATGCATTGAAAGAGCTTAAAAATGGTCCTTTCAAGTTTATTCTCTTTATATATCTTCTAACTCTTAGTGTAAATTAATTCGGTGAATAAATCTTTAATTTGTAGTTTTATTACAATCTAATATATTTGCTTAGATACATAAGAAACATTAAAAAGCGGGTTGGAATCAGCAATTCCGACCTTTTTTCTTGTATTTTAATTACGTAATAGCTTCTGTTAACTTACAATAAAACTTCAAATCCGATAGTTTGAAAAACGATTCATTCTTGATTAATACCGGGTTTTGTTGTTTACATCGATTACTCTAATTTGTGTTATGTGTTTTTCATTACGTAGGTATTTTCTTTATATTTATTTTTTTGCATAAAGTACGTACTGATATGGATGAGATCATGATTTATAAATGATTGTCTTATTTCAAAAGAACTCCAACAAGGTTAGTGAATCGAGAAATAATACATGATCTTGAAATGAAAGCAAACATCACAAATTATAGTGTAATTTAACATCATATTTTGAAAAAAAAAACATTTAGATAACTGTGAGAATTTGGACCAGTTTACGTGCAACGACCAATCCTCAGACGACCACGAATGTCTGAAGTCATCGCAAGTGAACCTTTATGGTCATAAGGGTTTTGGAAGCTCCTGGATTTAAACACAAGGAATATGAGATTTGTACTACATCACCTGTTGTTAACAGTATGCCACAACTCAAGTAATAACAAGAAAATATGCAAAATATAAATGGTATGAAATGAGATAATAAATTTGGTTTTAAACAATATAAACCATGAACGTTTCACCAAATTAAGTTTAAAAATATATGATCATATCGTATGTAACTAGTAACTAGTCATAAGGAGCCAAGCAGTAATTACTCTAGTGTGTCAGGGAGATTGATGTTCGGATTTTAGAATGAGTGAATTTTCCAGATATAAATCACGCTCACTTATCAAAAGAAAAGAATTTTCCTTGTTATTTGAGACATAAATACATAAATCTTTAGATAATCACGGTACAAGACTCCAAGGTCAAAAGTCAGCCATACTTTCAGTAGTTTTGAAGACACTCAAAGTAACATTTTTTATAAAATAAACCTAAATATTATCAGTTAAACGAAACGGCCAATAACAATTAGGTTTTAGATAAATCTTTTTGGGTTATTTTTGTAATCATAAAGCTATCTTTAAATAAAATAAAGCACCCAAAAAGATGGAAAAGCAAAAGAAAAATAAAAAGAAAAGAAAAGGGTATATGTTTTTTTCATTTTCGTCTTCTCAAAATGCATCTTTTATTCTTCATGTGTCATTGTTGAAAAAAACAGTACACCTGTACAAAGCCGATTCATAAAACAGTTCTCAGTGGTTTTACAGAACTTGAACCGTTGATCTCTGGGTATGATTCAAAAAACTCGAGTTTCATTACCAGTTAAGCTAATCCCACAAGTTTTTTATTTCAACTTCAAAATGCAAGGATTAAAAAGATAAGAATCAATTCATTGGATCGGAAAAGCTTAACTGCTTATTTGTTTGACGGTTTTATAATTTACTGTGTTGAATTTATAAAATTAGAGTCTTTTGCTGTATAGGCTTTCAGATCCTTGGACAATTGATTTTTAAATGTCAAACATCTTGTTTTTAAATTTATAAAATATAAATAAGCATGTTAAAGAAAGCAAGAATGGGACAAATGCAGAAGAATCCTATGTAACATTCTTTTTATTCTCTAAATTATCAATAATTTTAATTATTTATGTCGCTGTTTCAAAAGTCATTATAATTGGAGACTATTATATTTATATAAACTGTTAGAAATGCGTGTTTAGTAATATTTAAATTATTTGGATAACTTTTCTAGTAATATATATATTAAAAATATAACTTTAATCGTCATATTATCTTGTTTTATATCAGATTAATATTTTTTTATAAAGAAAAACTAAATGACTAATGATGTCAGCTAAAGCAATTAAAATTTATTCATAGCAACTAGATATTTGTGCATTTAGATCTTATGGGATTTAATGAAATATCATATCGTATTTATGGATATATATATATATATATATATATATATATATATATATATGAGAGCGTTCAAATAAAAACCATTTAATTTGTACAAACCGTACAAACTTCATTCAACTAATTATAATTTTTTATTTTGTTCATTTTTTTGTAATTATGAGAGGTTGATTAATTATTTTTATTGTGAATGATGTTAATCATGGATATTATCATCTTCATTATTTTAATTTTAGAGAAATACATGAAACAGTTTCATTAATTTTAGAGAAATACATGAAACAGTTTCATTAATTTTAGAGAAATACATGAAACAGTTTCATTAAGTAGTATATGAAACAATTTCATAACCATATATGAAATAACTTCATCAAAAAAAGTATTATATGAAACAATTTCATATAATACCTTTTTTGATGAAGTTGTTTCATATATGGTTGTGAAATTGTTTCATGTAATACTTAATGAAACTGTTTAATGTATTTCTCTAACATTAATGAAACTGTTTCATGTATTTCTCTAAAATTAAAATAATGAAGATGATAAATATTTATGATTAACACCCTCCACAATAAAAATGATTAATCAACCTCTCATAATTACAAAAAAAATGAACAAAATGAAAAATTATGATTGGTTNACGGTTTGCACGGTTTGTACAAATTGAGTGGTTTGCATTTGATCGCTCCCCTATATATATATATATATATATATATATATATATATATATATAAAAGTTATAACATGGTCAAAATACAACACTGGAATACCGTGACATGTGATGAAAAAGGTATAAGAATATATGGGCGTTTTACCGATTTTTAACACACACACACACACAAATATATAATATATAATTGGGGGCTGTTTGTTTTAACAAAAAGGTGATCATAACTACTTTTTAAATCGTATATGTTTTATCATCTCATCTTACAATTGAAATATTTGGTAAAAAGCCTGATTATCAACACCACACGTAACCCTTTTTCAAGCCTCCATGCATATCAATGTGACGGACATTTTTTTTACTCATTCAACTGTTGAGGCTAACTGTATGCGCACCTGTTGCACAGGGGAGGTTCGTATCCGAACTTGTCTTATATTTAGGCAAAGTTGCCTCACTCGCTAAGATCGTCCAAATCTTTGTCATGTAATCATACGTGATAGATATATAGGTGTTGTTTTTTTTGATAATTTAATGTATAAACCCCTATGTATATAAGATTTAATTTTATAATTATAAAATGTTATAATTTATTATTTTAAATTTAAGATTAATTATAATAAATAATGACTAAATGAAGATGTACACTATAATTGATGTAATATTATTATGACGGATGACAATCATCTCAACTCTAAAGTACTTGTAGGACTCACATTTGGATAAGATTGGACAAAGGATTACTAAGAATTATGTGTTTTTTTTTTCTTCATTTTTTATCAAGTCTTATATGAATAAAGTTGTTTGTATTAATTGTGAATTTTTTTGTTTAGGAGCGTTTTTTAATGGATGAAAGGAAGATGGTTTTTAATTGGTAGGAGTAGGTTTGGAAAAAAAAAAACTCTGTCTTTCCGCATAAAGTTTCCTCATAAAACTTACTGAATAAGCCACTTTCTACATCAACAAGTCACTGCTACCATACAATCATGTACATCTGACCGAATAAACTCTGAATTCTATTAAGCTCATTAAGCTGCTAACGGACAGACCCTTAATGTAACAAAATTGCATTTTTTTTTCAACAAGATAGTTGTAATAAAAATCAATAACAAATTAAAAATCTAAAATCTTCTATAATATTTTCACCTACCTACCTCTCTCATTTTCATCTGTCCAATCCACTCTCGTTGATTGTATCCAGTTTTATATACATACTCTTAGACGCTAGTATATACTCCACACATAACATATAACACATATACATATAAATGAAGTTTTAATATAGACTCTGTCATTCAAACAAATCAATCAATTGAGATGTTTATGGAAATGATGATGATTTGTTGATTTTTATCTCGATATTTCATATAAGATGCTCATAATTCATTTATTATAATTAGGGGTGAGCATAGGCGGGTACCCGTCCTTTTTGACAAGAATCGGAACCGGAACCGGAACCGAAACCGACGGTTCTTGAGATATTGGAACCGGAACCAGAACCGGTTAGAGCGGTTCTTAAATTTTTGGAACCGGAACCGGTTCCGATTCCGGGTACCCGCTTCCTAAAATATTAAAATTTTGTTATTTAGAAATAAAAAATAAAACATTGCGAAAACACTAAATAAATAAGCAAGAATACAAATTATATAGAATAATGGTTAYAAATGTTGTTTAACGATTACAAACCATAATAGACTAATAAAAAATGTTCAAAGTTTAACGATTACATACTATAATGGTAAATGTTCAAAGTTTAACGATTACATACTATGAATCCAAGTGAATACACAATTTGAAAAATACGAATCATTTTATATGAATAATTTAGATGAAGAATGAAGATGACGACGTACTTTCAAGATGTAAACCTAATATAAATTTGGTATAAAAAAATAATAATTATTTTTTTATTGGAAAATACCGGATACCCGGCGGGTAATGGTTCCGAAAAATTGAGAACCGGAACCGGAACCGTTCTCAATCGGTTCTGTATTTTAGGAACCAGAACCGGAACCACTAATATCAGTTTCGGTTCCGGAACCGGCGGTTCCAAGGCGGTTCCGGTTCCGTAACCGGGTACCCGGTTCCGCTGCTCACCCCTAATTATAATCAATATTCTGAATTAGAAAACACTAAAAATAGTTATGAAACCAGATATTTATTAAACTAGATGGATAGTTAAAATTGATTTATAGAATTTATATTTAAAACTTTCTCCATACATATAAATAGATATTTCTATTAATTCTGGTACAGTATTATCTATACATCTGTGTATGCATTATTTTAAGATATACCATAATACCAACCATGCCTCCAAATACAGGCGTTACGTGCCCCAATGAATCCGTTTGGCGCATCCTGGCTCGTGACTCCATATTTTTCACTTCAAGAAGTCACTGTTTCCGTACAAAGATTCTAATTAATTAAGCCATTTAGTTTTCTCGTTCTGCGTTTTAACAATTATAAAATATTTAAACTATATAATTGTCTATTTAAAAAAATTAAAAATAAATCATTAAAATACTCAAAAAAACATTCAAAAAGCCCTTTAGAAAAC